TTTCATACAGCACGTCCTGAGGTGTCGGTAATCTATCGTTTTAGGTACGTAAAATCGCCCGCGGTTAGTAATGTGCGAAAAAGTTACCTCATTGTCAAGGCTTTAATAGAAGTATATTGTGATATATTTGTGTCAAATATTATAGATAAATGAATAATAAACCTAAATCAATAGCTAAATATATCAATATAGGCAAGAAATTAACTTTAAACAGCTGTGTTTGAGAGCAAGATTTGCTATATAAACAGAGTAAAATAGAGTGGCTTCCCATGAATCTTGCGCTATAAGTTTATAAAAAAAAACTTAAACAAGATAGCTGCTATAGTAAATTAGCATGGTTGCATCTGTTGGAAACATCGCTAGTCTTCATTTATTACTGAAAAGTTTTAATTCAATTGTTTAAAAACAGGTTCATAAATTAAACAAGGAAACATTTTTGTTTTTTTCCAAACATCAATCCTCCTCAAAATGTGAAATAGTTATTAAAATTTAAGGAGTCTCCTGCTTTTCACATTACTAGTTGCGGGGCGATTTTACGTACCTAAAACGATAGATTACCGAGGTGGTTGTGCGGTAAAGACGACTAACCTGCCCCCCAGCAACAAAGATCCGAGAAATATAGCACCGGTGTTGTTTACACTTTTAACTATGTCAGTTTTAAAACACAAGGTTACACGTCTAAAAATACTAAGTTGGTAACACGCTGATGAAACCCTTAAAAATGTTCCGTCACCCTGGTGTTGTAAGACTAGGTCTCGGACTGGTACGCTAGTTTAAAAAAAATTCTTTAGCATTCCGTGGCGATCAGGAAGGAGGGGGGCTTGATGCTTGGTCGCAGGAGCCAGTGGCGTAGCGAGGTCGGGTGTCACCCGGTGCGGCACTTAATGGTGTCACCCCCCCCCCCCCCCCCAGAGGCGTAGCGACCCTTCCCGGGGACAAACTTTCAAATTTTCGATTTGCACCCCCTCCCCTCAAACTTTCGATTTGCACCCCCCCCCCCCCCCCCTCCTCAAGTTTTCGATTTGCTCCCCCTCCCCTCGAACTTTCGATTTGCAACCCCCCCTCAAGTTTTTCTCTATATATTTTCCTATTTTTTGCCTTGGTGTCACCCCCCTAAATGGTGTCAACCGGTGCGGTCCGCACCCCCCGCCCCCCCCCCCCCCCCCCCCTTCGCTACGCCCCTGGCAGGAGCGACAAATAATTTAAGAAACAGGAAGTGAGATCATAATATCTGGAGAGAGGGATGGGTGTAACCGACTAATAGAAGACCGGGTTCAAATCCTGTGCAGTCTACACTTTTTTTTTTCCTGTGCTATGTGTTAGAGTTTAGTCATTGAGGCTATATTGAGCTCTTAATCTATTTAAAGCCATTGCAGTTTACTGAGCTCTCCCGGTAAATAATCACATGTCGAACATTAAGCTCTTCAGTTTGATTTGCATTTGATAGTGAAATTCATTTGGGAACCCTTTTGTTGGTTTCACGGATTAATTTTCTTGAAACCTATAGACTATAGTCTAGAGCTTTTTTATATCCAAGCTATGTTGTCGAGGGTACATTTTTTTCAAGTCAGTAGAACGTCACTTTGTCCACCCAGTTCTGGTGGGCATATAACTATCGTTAGGAAAAGTAAAGGCAGCTGGGCACAGTGCGGACCACACCGTTCCTTCATATGCCGAGGTCACAGAAACAGGTGAACTCTACTTCACTTTCCCCGTGAACCGATAGGTTCGAAAAGGGAACTTTTACATTTTATCAAATTATTTTGTTGCAGAGGTGTATTGGGGGTACAGTTCTTTAAGGCTATGCTATAGGGAGCATTTTGTCAGAAGCCATATTGTAGAGTCGTTTTGTTGGTGTGCTGGCCAGCATCAATGAACCTAATAATTTGTAACAAATCTTCGATTAAAAGGCTTCAAACATATGCCGCTTCAATTATTAGCTGACACAAATCTCGACCTATACCTGTAGTAACACATGGCGTTAAGCGTTCGTGTTATAAAATTAAAACAAGATCTCGCCAAGACATGGTGAAATCATAATCTTTAAAAAATACAACAAAGCAGTCTGTTTTAAATATATTTTAATCAAAAGTTTCGTCTTAAATGTATTATTTAAAAGAAGTTTTGCTAAAGTTTCCAAATGTTTTTTTTTTTAATGTTTCAGCTTTATCTTATTCGACTTGATTCTTTCTAATAAGGAAAGGCTGCTTTCTTCTCCTGTACACTCTCGGCCCAGTCATCCCAAGACGTGCCGGCATTCTGTAAGTAATACAAGGATTTAACAGGCATTCTGTAAGTAATACAAGGATTTAACAGGCATTCTGTAAGTAATACAAGGATTTAACAGGCATTCTGTAAGTAATACAAGGATTTAACAGGCATTCTGTAAGTAATACAAGGATTTAACAGGCATTCTGTAAGTAATACAAGGATTTAACAGGCATTCTGTAAGTAATACAAGGATTTAACAGGCATTCTGTAAGTAATACAAGGATTTAACAGGCATTCTGTAAGTAATACAAGGATTTAACAGGCATTCTGTAAGTAATACAAGGATTTAACAGGCATTCTGTAAGTAATACAAGGATTTAATAGGCATTCTGTAAGTAATACAAGGATTTAACAGGCATTATGTAAGTAATACAAGGATTTAACTGGCATTCTGTAAGTAATACAAGGATTTAACAGGCATTCTGTAAGTAATACAAGGATTTAACAGGCATTCTGTAAGTAATACAAGGATTTAACAGGCATTCTGTAAGTAATACAAGGATTTAACAGTCATTCTGTAAGTAATACAAGGATTTAACAGGCATTCTGTAAGTGATACAAGGATTTAACAGGCATTCTGTAAGTAATACAAGGATGTAACAGTCATTCTGTAAGTAATACAAGGATTTAACAGGCATTCTGTGAGTAATACAAGGATTTAACAGGCATTCTGTAAGTAATAAAGGATTTAACAGGCATTCTGTAAGTAATACAAGGATTTAATAGGCATTCTGTAAGTAATACAAGGATTTAACAGGCATTCTGTAAGTAATACAAGGATTTAACAGGCATTCTGTAAGTAATACAAGGATTTAACAGGCATTCTGTAAGTAATACAAGGATTTAACAGGCATTCTGTAAGTAATACAAGGATTTAACAGGCATTCTGTAAGTAATACAAGGATTTAACAATTAATGAAAACATGTCTAGAAGTAAAGTGTGAGTAAAAATGTAAAGTAGTTTTGAAATAACTTCATTTTAAATATATTTTGGCATATATATATATATATATATATATATATATATATATATATATATATATATATATATATATATATATATATATATATATATATATATATATAATTATTTTCTATTCACTACATTATTTAATCTTAGAAAGACAAAGTGGACAAAACGTGTTTTACCCAACCATCTGGGTCACTGTTGCTAGTATCTCTTGCGTTATTCACAGCTCTTGCGATTACCTGTTTATCAAACACAGTTTAAAAGTGTTTTAAAGTGTTGTAAAAAATGTATGGGGTTTTTTTTGGACAGAAATATCTAAAAGTCGAAAACAATATTTATCAGCATCCGTATGCTTATGATGTGTTTTCAAATTTTATATTACGCTAAACATTGCCGATAGTAACACTATAAAAAATAGTTTTCCCTCAAAATTTGGGAACAGTTGTAGGTAAAAATAGAAGAAAACTTACTGGGAAAGCCATAGTCACGGCAAGGAAAACCGTTAGACAGAGAAATATGGCGAGCAACTTCATGGTGCCTGGAACACAAGATGACACCACATAACTATCAGGTTGGGTTCACTGCTTACATTCAGTACAATCATTTTAAATGTCGTCTATAAAAATAGTAAATTAAAGCTTCCATTTTAATACTAAAGATAGACAGATGAAGTAGAGTGCACGTGTTTCCTGACCTCGGTTTATGAAAGGATGGTGTGATGCCCAGACGCCTTTACTTTTCCCAACGTGAGTCAGGTACCCATCAGAGCTGGGTGGGCTTAGAGATCTGAAGGCTAGTGGCTGAACGCTCTACCATTTAACCACGTCGTCGCATGAATAATAGTACTTGCTGTTGTAAAGTCTTCCGTGTTCAATTTCAATTTTGTATTTATTTACTCAATAACGGTAACAACAGTAGGCACTGAGGCCTTTTTTTTTTACATCGGTCGTTTTTCTTTTTTTTTTTTTTTTTTTTTTTGTCATCATCATCACTCCTTTATGGCCCCTGGGGAGCAAAGGGCTGCAACCACACATCTCCAGCGGACTCGGTTTTGGGCTGCTCCTCTACTCTGTGCCCATGAGAGCCCAGCTGTTTTTGCCTCTTCCTCAACCGTTCTCTTCCATGTTTTCCTTGGCCCACCCTCCTTTTCCCCTTTTTTTTTGTAAACGGTAGTAAATATTCTTTTAAACTTATCTCATTAACATTAAATTCGTCACAATATTCGTCACTGGAATTAAATTTTATTTCAAACGTATATAAGAATTATGTTATAATTCTGTAAGTACTATCTACAATACAATTTATAGAAGATGACATTTAACCAAGATTAGCGCCGACAAAAGTAAAGTAAAGTTTCCCTTTCAAACCTGACGGTCTATGGGGCAAGTGAAGTAGAGTTCACTTGTTTCTGTGACCTCGGCATATGAAGAGATAGTGTGGTCAGCACTATGCCCAGCCGCCTTTACCTTCCCTAACGTGAGTTAGGTACCTGATCAGAGTTGGGTGGACTCAGGGACGGTATACTGACTTGAACCCGGATTGGAACTCGAGACTTACGGGTTAGCCGTCCAGCTCTCTACCGCTAGACCACTCCGTCCCAGCGCCGACAAAACATCTAGCAAAACGCTAAGCGTGATCGTATACTTACAGTTACGTACGTTGTCTAGATACAGCGGTAGTGAATGTCTGTAGACGTGTGATGAATGGTCAGTCAATGTCAGGGTTTTATTACGTTTTTCATCCACCTCATTATCGTCATGTGGGTGAATAGTTTTAAGCTGTTACAACGGGGATGCTTTGAAAAGTGAATAGATAATATCAGAAAATGCGAATTTTATTCATTTAATCTTAACGATCAAGTTGAACAAAATGATTAGAGTATTGTATTAGTAGTAGTAGGGTATCTTAAAATCTATTTATGTTAAACTACTAAACGATTGAATTAATGAGAGTGTACTGTTCGTATCTCATACATTCTAGTCTTCACTGAGAGGTACCAACATAATGTGGCGTAATGTACTTGCTCGTATCATTTCATCATTTCATCAGCAGGTGAGGGTATGAAGTTTACAGTGCAAGGGAAACTACTCTTAAATTGACTGTCCTTGGATTTCGACAAAAGCGCTTGCAGGATAGCAACACTCCAGTAGAATAGACATTGAACATACACATGCAGTGTTTCTTCCAGACTTTTTTTTCTCCGGGGGGGGGGGGGGGGCACTTGATATTTTCGGGGGACGGGGAGGGGGCGGGGGGGGGACACTGGGAAAAGTATATGCTATCTATATAAATTCCGTTTTGTTCGGGGGGGGGGGGGGGGGCACTGGTAAAAGTATATGCTGTCTATATAAATTCCATTTTGTTCGGGGGGGGGGGCGGTAGATTTTCTTTGATGAAACAAATACTTCTATACCAACATTAAAATGAAATATAAATAAACTTACTAAGCAGCTTAGCGAAAGACAACAAAGATGTAGAAAGACACGGACATTACTGACTCAGGGAGCAAACTCCCGTTCCCCTCCCCCCACCATTAGTCAAGCAGGCCGACATAAGTCCGACTGCTGGGTTACGGAGAGAGCGGTGTCTCCGTCCCATTCTGTTGATCGCTTCTCCTCTGTCAGTAGGAATTCTATTGACGTTATGTACTGTATGTGTTAACAATTAAAGTAAGTGTTGATAACATTAACATAATGGCGTGTACTGTAACAGTTAGGATGGATAAAACGTTAGTAAAAATGTCGGTTAGAAATTGCAATGAAAGAAATAAACAAAGGTTCTCTACAGGCTCAGCGATGCATTGTGCTGATGACGTCAAACTATTCTTTAAAATGTATGCTACAGTGGACTCTAATAATGTTAAACAGAGCGATAGAATGAACTGACCGACATACATTTGTTTTAGAAACATGTTTTTATAGAAGAGTATTCAAGTTTTTTAAACGAGAAGAAAGTTGGATAAGAAAGTTGGATAAGAAAGTTGGATAAGAAAGTTGGATAAGAAAGTTGGATAAGAAAGTTGGATAAGAAAGTTGGATAAAAAAGTTGGATAAGGAAGTTGGATAAGAAAGTTGGATAAGAAAGTTGGATAAGAAAGTTGGATAAGAAAGTTGGATAAGAAGTTGGATAAGAAAGTTGGATATGAAAGTTGTAATGTACTAATTACTAGTTGTGTGGGTATGGTGATAGTTGGTGGTGGTGGATGGTGGATACATCGACTGGGCTAGTTGGTATTGATGGATGGTGGATATATCCACCGGGTTCGTTGACGGATGCATCCACTGGGATAGTTGGTAGTGGTGGATGGTGGATGCATGATATGGGCTAGTTGGTATTGATGGATGGTGGATATATCCACTGGGTTCGTTAATGGATGCATCCACTAGGATAGTAGTGATGGATGTGAATACATCCACTGGGCTAGTTGGCAGTGGTGGATGGTGGATATATCCACTGGGCTGGCTGTTGTACCTCGTTGTATGCAGAAGTGCAACACGACAGATGGTAAATTTACACTCAGTAGCTAGGATCAAGAGTTCCATTGATTGGTCAAGTCCATAAAATTAAACTGGACAAGCTTAGCAAAGAATAAAACTATTGATCTCATAAACAAACGGTCTATAAAAGCTTGAAATGTTGAAACTTTCATAAAGATCACAAGAGTTGTTTTTTGTCATTGTTGTTAGATTTTTAAACTACTAGTTATCGCCCATTGGTTTCTCTAGACCTCTTTTTTACGTGACAAAAAATTTCCAGGACCGTGACTTGAGTTAAAGAAAAAAAAAGCAAATAGTTGTTTTTTTTTTTTTTTCAGAACAAAAATGTTCCGTTTTTAAATGAATTTTTAATAAGTACTATGTTGTTATTTTATATCGGACAAATAAACATCAAATACTTAGGACAGAATTTCGATAATGCTTAAAATAACGAAAAGCGTTAGCTAACAGGTCAAAGGTTATAACTCATCAAACTTGGTTCCCAGAAAGATGCACAACGGAAATAAGCGCAACGAAAAAAAAGGCAAACAGAAAAAAGCGCACACATAAAAAAGCGCAAGCTGAAAAAAGCGCAAACATAAAAATACGAAAACAGAAAAAAGAGCAAACTGAAAAAAGCGCACACAGAAAAATAGAGGGAGGGTAGCAGAATCCCCACCCCTCCCCGCCTACATTTTGTCAGTGTCGCATCAAGAACGGCGTTAAATACACACACATACACACACACACACACATATATATATATATATATATATATATATATATATATATATATATATATATATATATATATATATATATATATATATATATATATATATATATATATATATATATATATATATATATATATATATATATATATATATATATATATATATATTGAGCATCACCTCTCCAATACTAAAAATATATCCTACGTCACTACTTTAAATATCATAAAAATAATAAACAGATTACTTCAGATCCTTATTCAAAATGGCAACAGCTTTATTTTTATATCTAAAGACAACGTCATTATAAGTCAGGGTTTTTTTTAATGTTACGTTTCATTTGATATATTATTATCATCCTAACAGCTCACAGGCATAATAGAGCTTCATATTACATAATATCGAATATCTTAAGACATCCTTGCTTCGACCTCACAGGCATAGTAGAGCTTCGTGTTACAGTCAACATAGTTGGTGGAGTAGTACTCGGACCAGGGTGATATACAGCACTCGCTGCCCGCCACAGTCAGCAGTGGGGTATACAAACCAAGGTTGGTATCGTAAGACCAGTTGTTGTAATACGTCACATTCTGAACGCTTTGACAATCCACCCAAATCGTTTCTCTCAGAAAATAAAACACGCTCAGGAAACTGTTCATTTCTTCGTACACGACGTTCAACAATTTTCCACCTTTTGCGGTGCAATTTCGTTCAGCTTCGTCGTGAGTTGATAAGCTTCTGAAAAAGCCGATACATTTCGTGGTTTCTCGGAGGTTCGCTAGAGTGAAACCCTTCGAGGTATCGCAGTAGGGTCTGATTTGGTACAAGTCGCCTTCGGAGCTAGAGGGCGCCTGTTGCAGAGGGTCTAGGGCTGCCCCGGGGGTACAGAGGTGTGTTGTGTTGTTGAATATGAGACTTCCACAGGCTGGGTAGCTGTGCAGGCAGGTCACTGCGCAGGATATCAAGGAGAAAGCTGTCCAGCCGTGGTCCAGCCGTACACTGCCGTAGCTGGGAGAACTGACGAGGTAAAATGAATGATGGACTGTGCTGGGCAATGCATGCTGTAGAAAACAGTTTGCTGGGAAAAAAGATAATGATAACGTTAATGCTAGTAACTATTATATTAAAAATAAAAAAATAGGCATTGTAATACAAACATGTTTTGAAATTATTGTAATAAAGAACATTATCTTGTTAGTATCAACACGAAATTAATTACCGTGGTGAAGTAAATATGAAACGTTCATGAGTTCAACATTAAGCAAACAATCCTCCTTAGACCTAGCGAACCCTTGGGCACATGAAGTATGTTTCTTGACCTCGGAAAGGAAGGTGTGGTCAGCCACCTTTACTTTCCCTAACATGAGTCATGAACCCATCAGAGATGAGTGGCCTGCATCATGATTCGAACTCGAGACTTTCGGATTAGAAGCCTAGCGCTCTACCGCTTAGGCCAAGCCGTCTCATGTGAGTATAACATACTGTGAGTATAACATACTAATACTGTTATGTTAGTAGTATAGCATGTTCTATTGCAATTATTGTTACTCTCACTTTATTTATTTGACCATCTATCGGCTTTCATTAACGGCTTGGTTAATATTAAACACTTACTTGACAGAATTAGCACTAGTGCCGTAATTTGTTTCATTGTTTAAACACGTGTTCACACCACAAAAAGATGGAAAATTTCACTGTTCTTTAATCTATATTAAGAGCAAAAGCAAAATGTCAATAAAACAGCACATACATTTTTTTATAAATCTAAAAAAGTAAAGCTCTCTTTTCGAACCTCAGTGTCCATGGGTCAAAGTGGAGTTCACACATTTTTTTTCTATGACATCAGTATATGAAACGATAGTGTGGTCAACACTATGTCCAGCCGCCTTTACTTTCTCTAACATGAGTTAGATACCCATCAGCAGAGGCGTAGCGAAGGGGGGGGGGGGGGGGCGGGGGGCGGACCGCACCGGGTGACACCATTTAGGGGGGGGGGGGGGGTGACACCAAGGCAAAAAATAGCAAAATATATGGAGAAAAATTTGAGGGGTGCAAATCGAAAGTTTGAGTGGGGGGGGGGGGTGCAAATCGAAAGTTCGAGGGGGGGTGCAAATCGAAAATTGAAAGTTTGTCCCTGGGAAGTGTCGCTACGCCTCTGAGGGGGTGGCACCATTAAGTGCGGCACCGGATGACACCCGACCTCGCTACGCCACTACCCATCAGAGTTGGGTGGACTCGGGGACGTTCTACTGTCTTAAACCCGGATTCGATTTCGAGAATTTTGGGTTAGCAGTCTAGCTTAATGTAAGTTATATTGTACTGAATATATTAAATTTAAAATGGTAATTATCTTATAAAACCATTCAACTTAATGCTATTATTTATTACAATTAATAACTACATTAATTTTAATCAATCATTTCCTCTTATAAATCTATTTCTAATTCGTACTGTGAATTGCTCTCTTAATATGACTACAAAAAGATTAATTAAAAGATTATAATAATCCTGCTAAACTAAATTCATATTTTTTCACCTTTTTTTCTAAG